TATCTATCTGAAATATATCTATGTATACCTAGAAGACTTAACTAACACGGCTACACAGTTAACAATAACAATTAGCCAAAAGCAGAACTACGAAACCAAAAAGCAAGGTTAGTACATTTAGAGACTTTCCCAGAACTCTGGACTTTGATAGATTAGGTTTTGGTTTTCATGTCAGACAGCTGGTGGTAGTGTCTGTGTGCTGAGTTTTATGGCCTGAACGGTACTTCCATCATGGAGTCAATGTGTGAAGGTCTGGGCCTGTCACTTAGGCCCACTGTAAGCTGTTCTTAGCCCTGCCACCACTGTTGGCCTTGCCTCGTGGCTGCTTGCCTTCGTGCTGTCCTGGTGCTCTCCTCCATTGCCCGATTCCCTCCTGCCCTGCTGTTCATGCATTCATTTAATAACTGTCTTAAGTGTATCTTAAGTGCCAAGCTCTCCTGAGATAGCGATTCAAGGAGCTAGATAGTGTGGCCCTTGGCCTCAGTGATTTTTTTTTTCTTTTTTTGTTTTTTGTTTTTTTGAAACAAGTTTCTCTGTGTAGCCCTGGCTGTCCTGAAACTTTCTCTGTAGACCAGGCTGGCCTCAAACTCAGAGATCCGCCTGCCTCTGCCTTCCCAGTGCTGGGATTAAAGGCATGGGCCCCCACCGCCTGGTGGCCTCAGTGAAGTCAGATATATGGAGTTTGAATAGAGACCCCCCACCCCATAGTAGCTCTATCACCATGGATAACACATGAACTCATTGTTTTCTCATCTGTAAAGATAACTTGTGAGAAGAGTCAGTGAGATGAAGTCCACTGCGCTAGAAAGTCGATACTTCAATAACATTCCCGGGTTGTGTATGGTGGTATACACTTTTAGTCCTGGTACTAGGAAAGGAGACAGAAGCAGATGGATTTGAGAGTTCAAGACCAGCCTGGTCTACATAGTGAGTTCTAGGTCAGCCAGAGCTACCTAGTGAGACCCTTTCCCAAAAAACAAACGAGGGACTGGAGAGATGGCTGAGTGGTTAAGAGCATGGATTGCTCTTCCAGAGGACCCGGGTTCATTCCCCAGCACCCACGTGGTGACTCACAACTGCCTGTAACTCCAGTTCCAAGGAACCTGATATCTTTTTCTTTTTCTTTTTCTTTTTTTTGGTTTTTTTTCTGAGACAGGGTTTCTCTTGTGTAGCTCTGCACCTTTCCTGGAACTCACTTAGTAGCCCAGGCTGGCCTTGAACTCACAGAGATCCGCCTGCCTCTGCCTCCCGAGTGCTGGGATTAAAGGCGTGCGCCGCCGCCGCCGCCGCCGCCGCCGCCGCCGCCGCCGCCGCCGCCGCCGCCGCCGCCGCCGCCGCCGCTGCCGCCGCCGCCCGGTGGAACCTGATATCTTCACACAGACATACATGCAGTCAAAACACCAATGCACATAAAACAAAAATAAATAAAAAAAAATAAAAGTTTCTCCCTTAGTTCGAATCTTCATTCTGTTTCTCTTGACTCATAGCTGACGGAGTTTTTGAGTCTTTCACTGCTGAGGTTTCTTACATCTAACCATGCGTCTTTCGGCCCTGCTGGCCTTGGCATCCAAAGCCACTCCCAGTCTCCACCACCGCTATGGGATGAACCGTCCAGGCTCCCTATCAGACAAGAGGAATCCCCAGTGGAGCAGGCGGCGCCCAATGGCAGTAGAGCCCATCTCTGAGGAAGACTGGCACCTGTTCTGTGGAGACATGGTGAGAACCTCAGGACAGAGCGACAGAAAGGTGGCTGGGCCACAGTTTCCTGCCCTTGTCCTCTCGTCTTCCTGCAGGTGGAGATCTTAGAAGGCAAGGACGCTGGGAAGCAGGGCAAAGTGGTTCAGGTCATTCGAGAGCAGAACTGTGTTGTCCTGGAGGGGCTGAACACGGTGAGTGGAAGGATGATGGAGAACTGAGACGTCTTCCCCATCTGTCCCCCTACGAGCAGCATGCAGAGACAGGAAACTGGCTGAGGGGCAGACTGTACAGCTGGGCTTGGGCTGAGTGTGCTTAGCAGTAGTAGGTAAATTCCCTCCTCACACATTGTTTTCTGATACTGCCTTCTCTTGGACAGCGTTTCCACTACATTGGCGGAACCAAGGATCACCCAGGGACCATGATCCCCAGTGAAGTTCCCCTGCTTCATAACCAGGTCAAGCTGGTGGACCCTGAGGACAGGCAAGCACAGAGGCCTCTGGTCAAGGGGCTTCTAACTCAAGTCCACACAGGTGTTGGGCAGACCCATTTATCACATGAGAATGGTGTGTTGGATATGCTGGAGCTCAGGGGGTCTGTTTCCTTTTTGGGGCAGTATGTGGGGATTTTGAGGCAGGGTGTAGCTCTGTGTAGCTCTGGCTGTCCTGGCACTCACTCTGTAGATCAGGCTGTCCTGGAACTCAGAGATCTGTCTGCCTCCTGAGTGCTGGGATTAAAGTATGCACCAGCACTGCTCAGTGAGGTCTGTTTCTTGCACACAATTCTGTCAGTAACCTGACAGAAACAAAGGTGGTAATCTAGTGTTCTCAGCCACTGCCTTCAGTTTTGGGTTGGAGGGTGGTACAGAGATCTGGCTCTAAGTTAGACTCATTTTTTCTATTTACCAGGAAACCCACTGAGATCCAGTGGAGATTTACTGAGGAAGGAGAGCGGGTTCGAGTCTCCACAAGATCTGGGAGAATTATCCCCAAACCTGAATTTCCTAGAGAAGATGGCATTGTCCCAGAAACATGGACTGGTAAGCTGGGGATGGGTAGGAAGAAGACAGGGATGTGAGGTGTGACAGGAAAAGGGAAGTTGGTGGGGCTAGGAATGTAGCTTGGTGGTAGAGCGCTTGCCTAGCAGTGTGCAAGGTCATGGGTTCTATCCCCAACACTGCAGGAAATAAACAGTTGGCAAACTCATCATTTCCTTCTGACTCGACAGATGGCCCCAAGGACACATCAGTGGAAGATGCTCTAGAAAGAACTTATGTGCCCCGGCTAAAGACACTAGAAGAAGAGGTGATGGAGGCAATGGGGATCCAGGAGACTCGAAGACACAAGAAGGTTTATTGGTATTGAGCCTGAGAGTGCTGCTTTTGCATACTCAGTCTTCACCTTGAGGGTGGGCAGGCCTCCTCCTCCAACACCAATAAAGAGCCCTGAGTGCAGCTGCTGGCCTGCCCCTCTTCCTTCCCCAAGTGCTCGCATTTTGGGGAGCCCAGGTATGGTGCAGCTTTTCTTCTCGTCAGGACAGACTGGGTAGATGGTAGCCTTCCCAGGACAGGTCCTGCAATGTTTAGGGGTAGAAACAGGGAGACCCCTTGTCCTTTTCCCTATTTACAGAACCAGGAGTTAAATCTTAAAAGTTTTTTTTTTGTTTTGTTTTGTTTTTTTGTTTTTTGTTTTTTGTTTTTTTGTTCTGGTTTTTCATGACAAGGTTTCTCTGTATAACAGCCCTGGCTGTCCTGGAATTCACTCTGTAGACCAGGCTGGCCTTGAACTCAGAGATCTGCCTGTCTCTGCCTCCCAAGTGCTGGAATTAAAGGCATATGCCACCACTGCCTGGCTTTAAAAGTTTTAATAAATAAAAATTACACAGAACATTACATATGAAGGGAGAAAGGGTATAAACCTGAAGTTTGCAGACAGCCAGAATCCCGCAGGACGCAGGCACTCGAAACAGTAAGATGTACTGACCACATTGGCACTCTGTGGTTCTGGACTATCAGCTAGCTGTCTTCAGTCTCAAGAACAGAGAAGGCCTGACCTAGGGGTGTCTTGGTAGCCACCAGAACCAGATTTCTGGGCGAGAGTTCAGGGCTGAAGATGGGCAAGAGCTCAGCATAGAAGCCTAGGAGAAAGTGAGAGTTAATTAGAAGGGAAACAAGTCAACCCAGGCCCTCCTGCCTATCCAATAGCACAGCTCCTTATTCCAAAGAGAACACGAGCTTGAGAGGTAGCTCATGTGCTTTCTCAATGCCTGGGACACTGGTGCTGGACAGGGTTCAGTGGTTAAGAATGCTTGCTGCTCTTCCACTGTACTTAAGTTTGCTTCCTAAGACCCACATTGGATGGCTCACAACTGCTTGCCACTCCAGTCCAGGGGATTAAACACCCCAAAGCATGAGGTGTGTGTACACACACACAAATCTTAAAACCAAAACCTGTGGTGATACATTGTGTACCCTAATAAACTTGCCTGAGGATCAGAGGAAAAGAGCCAGCAACTAGATTAGACATAGAAGTCAGGCAGTGGTGGCACACACCTTTAATCCAATCATTCAGGAAGGAAGAAATCCATTTGGATTTCTGTGAGTTCAAGGCCACACTGAGCTATATGAGATTGATCCATTATAGGAGAGAAACAGAACCATGTAGTGGTGGCACACACCTTTAATCCCAGCACTTGAGATCTCATGCCTTTGCTTGGGAAGCACACATGCCTTTAATCCCAGGAAGTAATATGGCAGGGCAGAGAAAGGTATATAAGGCGTGAGGAAACAGGAACTCACTCTCTTTAGGCTGAGGATTTTGTAGAGGTGAGAACTAGTGTGTAGTAGGAATCTTAAAAGTTCTTATTAATAAAATCAAACCTAAGGCGAGGTATTGGGGTCCATGCTGGTTGATCAGAGAGACAGAACAAGCCACAGCTATCTCACCTTGCCAATTCCTCAGCTGGTCCTGTTTCCTCAGACTGGAAGCTTCTGTGTCCTCATCCCAATGGCTCTCCGCTGAACTGCTGCTTAAAAGCCTGAAGCTTAACCAGCCAAATGCTTAACCAGCCAAATGCCTTCTAGTTTCTGGTCCTCACGCCTCATATACCTTTCTCCTTTCTACCATCACTTCCTGGGATTAAAGTCGTGTGTCACCATGCTTGGCTATTTCCAATGTGGCCTTGAACTCACAGAGATCCAGACAGATCTCTACCTCTGGAATGCTAGGATTAAAGGTGTGAGTGCCACCATTTTCTAGCCTTTGTATCTAGTGGCTGTCTGTTCTCTGACCCCAGATAAACTTATTAAAGTACACAATATTTTGGGGAACACAATACCACCACACTAGTGGCTGGCTGTTCTGCTTCCCTGATCTTTCAGCTTTCACCCTGATATCTGGCTCTGGGTTTTTTAATAAAAAAACCATCTAAGATTCAAACAACAAAAACCAGTCTAGGGGGAAGGTGCTGCTAGGAATCCACATTTGTTAACAAATGCCCCCCTCACTAGGTGGTGTCCAGGCCCAGCAAACTAGATAAGGACTCACCTTGCTCTTGGAGATAGAGCAGCCGGTCTAGTAGAATCAGTGTCTCCACCAGTGGGGCCAGCAGGAGGGCCAAGCTGAAGAAGGCCACCACACGATTCTCTTGGGCCTGCTGGGCCCGAAGGGCAGCCAGATCCAGCGGCAGCTGAGGGTCCAGACCTACTCGCTGTAACCCTTGTTGCACGTATCTGTGGGACCAGCCATAATACAGTTAACTCTAGAAACTTCCATCCCCCACTCAAACTTTTGTCTCAAAGCTGATTCCTACTTTGATTTGCTTAAATAGGCATTTTATTTATTTTTATTTTTGGTTTTTCCAGACAGGGTTTCTCTGTGTAGTCTAGCTATCCTGGAACTTGCTCTGCAGACCAGGCTGGCCTCAAATTCAAGAGATCCACCTGCCTCTACTTTCCAAGTGCTAGAATTAAAGGCATGAGCTACTATGCCTACCTGTTTTGTGTTTTTTAGACATGGTCTCACTCTGTAGTCCAGGTTGTCTTCAAAATAAAATGGAAGTAGTCCTCATCCTTGACTCGAGAGCCAGAGTGCTGTGGTCACAGACATATGCCACTATACTCACTTAAATAATGTTTCTCAGGCTGTGAGTTACCTGTTCAATGGCAAACAGTCCCCAAATTTATTTTCATCTAGTCTTTTACAAGTTAGCCATATTTTTAGTAGTTATAAACTATTGGACTGATGTAATAGTTAGCTTAGTAATAGAAGTACTTGATTACCTAGCATGTACAAAGTCCTGGATTTGATGATTTCCAGAGCTTAAAAAAAAAAAAAAGAACTGTGCAACAGGCAGTGGTGCATGCCTTTAATCCCAGCACTCCGGAGACAGAGGCAGGTGGACCTCTGTGAGTTCGAGGCCAGCCTGGTCTACAGTTAGTTTCCAGGATAGCCAAGGATGTTACAGTGAAACCCTGTCTCAAAAAACCAAACAAAAAAAAAAAAAAAAAAAAAAAAAGAACTTGGGATAACCTTGACCTTCTGATTCTCCTGCCATGTCCCCAGTGCTAGGGTTACAGGTGGTCATCATCACCCTCAATTTATACAGTGCTGGGAATTGAACCTAGGCTCATGCATGCTAGACAAGTATTCTACCAACTGAGTTGCATTCCTAGCCCTAGGAGGACAATTTTTTTCAGAGGAATTTGGAGCAGTGCCCCTGGTTAGAGAAGTTCATGCCATTCCTCTGGGCTCACACATTTTCTTTGGCTGTGCTAACAAGTGGGGATAAGTGGGGAGCCTCCCCAGACCTCACTCTTCAATCTTGAGTTCGTGGGCCCTGGGGATTCCTTGCACGCCAGGCCTCCGAAGTTCAGGGCAGACATGTCGGATGACTGTCTCTAGTGCCGCACGGAAGCAGTGTGTTTGCAGGCCAGGGCTTGCTTTCTGTAGCCTCTCCGCGTAGTCCTCCAGGGCGTGGCAGGCCCCCTCCCGGAGCCTGTAGGGGAGTTCGTGGCCAGGCAGCCCAGCCACCCACTGACTCAGCGGGTAGCTGCCAGGGTCACTGAGTTTCATGTAGCAGCAGCCCACTGAGGCCAGGGCCACCACTTCAGAACAGCAGCAGAAGTGTTTCAGCAAGGCAACACTCAGATCCCCACAAGCATGGAGGCCTGTGAGTAGCAGGCGGGTACTACCCTGGCCTGGTGTCTCCAGAGGAAGCAGAAGCTCCTCACACAGGGCTGTGGAGCTGACCCACTGAACCACGTGGCGGGGGGAGTGGCGGGGGCCTCTTTGCACCACCTGTTGGGAGAGAAAAAAAAAAAGGCAGATGCAAAGTTGGGTGGCTATCCTCAGGCCACCAGAGTGACCCTGTCTTCTGAGTTATATGGGAGAGAAGCTGGGCACTAGAGAGCTAGACTGTGAACCACACGAGACCATCATTTCAGACTGAAGACTTTTCATTTTGCCTGTCATTTTTCTTTTTCTTTTGGGTAGGGTAGGGGTGACACTAGGTCTTTGCAGCTCTTTCTGACCTGGAGCTCATTATGTTAAACAAGCCAGCAAATCTGCATGAACCCTGTCCCTGCCTTCCCAGTGCCGGGATTACAGGCATGTACCACCATACCTAGCTCAGTTTCCCTTTCTCTTTTGGTGGTGCTGAGAATGGAACTCGGAGCGGGATGAATGCTTAGGCAACTGTCCTACCACTGAGCTGTATCCCAGCTCTTCTATTTCTTGTTGGTAATGAGTCTCACACCTACGTGTTAGTGATAGAGCTACTGGCACTGGGTTCCGTCCCTAGCACAGCCACTAATAACACCCATCTGGCCACATCAATAGTTTACCATGAGAACATACTGGTGTGGAAATCACTTATACAAACTAGAAATGCCTTGGAGATATGGGGATGCTTTGGGGAAGGGACAAAAAGTAGCAGAAATAAATCACGACCATCTCGAACTGAGAAACTTGGAAGTAGAAAGTGAGTTTTAATATGTAGTTCCCCCAAGCACAGGGCCCCTGCAGTGCAGGCTGCAAGAAGGGCAGCTTACCTTTGGGTGCTTCTTCTCCATTTTGTCTAGAGTCTGCAGAAGCTCCTGGTCTAGGTGCTGGGCTCTCTCTACCAGCCTCTGATTTCCTTCAAGGCTCTTAACCATCAGCCCCAGCCCGAGAGACATGAAACGGGAGAGATGGCCCTGGAGTCACGAGGGAGAACCACACTGTTCAGTGCCCCATTGACTGTCACCCTAGCAGTGGTGTAGACAACTGGGTCCCAGGCCCACCAAAGGCTTCCTTTCCCCCACCACTTCTCAGCACCTGCTTCCATGGGCATTCGGCCTGCTAATCTGCCTTCTCAAATAGATAATATGTTGAGAGTCTGGCTCACCTGGCCTGAGCCCACATCCACAACCTGGGTGCAGCCAGTGAGATCACTCAGCTTCTTCACCAACTGAAAGAAGAGGAAACAAAAGTCTCTTCTTGGCACTGACTCCTGAAGCCATAAGGATGGTAGATGAGCCAAGGGGACAGAAGGAAACACTGAGGGTGCCACAGAGACACGAGATGTCAAACCAGAATTGAGAATGATGGTAAGTGTCTAGCCTAGTCTGCTTGCTCCTTAAGTCAATGACTCAAGAGCAAGAACCCTGTGGGCTGTGAAACCAAAAACTGACTGAAGTGAACAGGGGTAAAACCGTCCCCCCCACAGCTGCCAGCCAACCCAGAAAACAGATAGGAAAGCCTCCCAGCACCAACAAGATGGGATCCTAGCGTGTCTGGAGGGAGGGGGACTTCTGCAGTCGCTGGTTCCTGCACATGCAGCAAGGGCCACGTGCCTTCCTCACCCACAGGTTCTCAGACAGCCCAGCCTCTAGCAATCTCCTCACCTCTCCCAGCCTCCGGATCTCATGCTGCTTCTTGGGCTTGACATGTTTCCGAAAAGGCGCGGTTAGTCGGGAGCTTTGGCTGGGGTTCTCCAGGAACTCTGATGGAGTCTGAAAGCCAGGTGTCCGGGTAAAGGCAAGGGCACAGGCTGTGGACTTCAGGGCCAGCAGGGTGAGTGGCCACACGGACCTGTACCTGAGATAGTCCAGCCCAGGCTGCCGGTGAATAGCCCACAATCACATTGTGAGTGTACAAGCTTATGACCTGGCAGCCCAGGAAGACCAATGAGACTGTCTACACAGGGCTCAACACACGGCTCAGTGCGCTCCTTCCCCAGCACAAGGCTCCTCTGCTTGCACATACCTGATCTCTTCCCCTTCCCTGGGCATCCCCAGCAGCAGGCTGGCCAGCTGTGGTGGGTTTAGTCCATCCAGCGCTTCTTGCCATGAGCTGGGGAGTGTGCTCCACAGGCTGTCGGTGAAAAATTCCTGCAGAAGGAGCCAAGCAGTCAGAAGAATTCTACTACTGTTCACATTTTCTCAGCCCCATCTCAACTCTCCGCCTCATCACTTTCTTTCTCTGGCACTAGTGCCCAAAACAACCAGATGCCACCAGGTCTGTCCTGTTCATCTACATCAGCTCAAGTCTGCCCCCAGCCTCCACTAGTGCCCAGGTGGTACAGAGACTGCATTCTGAACACACTTCTCATTCTCTTAATGTCCCCATTTACTTGGGTCTGCTTTCTCCATTCAGTTTCTTTTTTGGTTTGTTGGTTTCTTTTTTTGAGACAGGGTTTCTCTGTGTAGCTATGGGTGTCCTGGAACTTGTTCTATAGACCATATTGGCCTATGCCTCTGCCTCCTTGGGATTAAAGGTGTATGCCACCATACCTAACTTTTTTTTTTTTTTTTTTTTTTTTTGAGACAGGGTCTCTCATTGAACCAAGAGGTAGCAGATTTGGGAACTGTGTAGAAGGCTGGCCTAGAATCCAAGATCTGCCTCTGCCCCAAGGCATATACCACAATGCCTGGCTTGACCAATTTTTTTCACATCTGTATCCCTAGCATGATCAGTGACTGACACACAGCATTAACAAATAACCATTAAGTAACCTGCTATTTTATGATACAGACAGCTGTGTATTTTAACTCATTCATTTGTTCTTTTTAACTCTGGGGCTTTGGGGACCAGGCGTGGTGGTGAACACCAAAGAACCCCAGCACTCAGGTGGAGGAGGCAGGAATACCTCTGTGAGTTTAAGGTCATCCTGTTCTACATAGTGAGACTCCTTCTGGAAATAATCAACTAATTAAAAAACAATTTAAAAAGCCTTAGTTGTTAGAGAAGTTACCTGCCAGTGAATCAGACTCTGCTCTCCACAACCCGATAGCAAGAACACCTACCCTGTCTTCTGGCAAACAGCCTCCAGAAAATGGTCTGCAGCCTGGCATAATGGCACACACCTTTTCCCAGCAAGCAGGAGGCAGAGGTGGGAAGATCTTTGTGAGCTCAAGCTCAGCCTGGTCTATATAGTGTTCCGGGACAGCCAGATCAGGCCAGCCTGATCTACAAGGTTAGTTCCAGGATAGCTAGGGCTGTTGAAGAGAGAAACCCTGTCTTGAAAAACCAAACCAAACAAAAAAAAGAAAGGACGAACGAACAAAAAATAAACAAAACAACAACAAAGAGTGCTTGATAAGCATGCACGGGATCTTGGGTTCCATCTCCAGAATTGCAAACTAATGCAAATAATGATTTCAGCTAGCATAAATACTACATTCCACAAAACATTCATGTAAACTTTGTTAGAGAGCTGAGTGGACAACTACTGTAAACACCATAGAGGAAAAAAAAATGTGTACGCTAACACTTCAGTTCAGAGTTGTCAAGTAAAGAAAATACAAGCAAAAGTAAACACTCACACATATATTTTCACTATTCTGAAAACAGTTAAGCAAGCGTTTATTTACTTTGTTTAGTTCAGAGGATTTTTGAGACAGGTTTTACTCCGTAGCCCTCACTAGCCTGGGGCTCAAAGTGGTTCACCACCACAACCCCTTCAATTTCAAAAGTACTTTTATTATTAATTATGTGTTTTGTGTGATATTTTGATTGTGTTCTCACTAATAAAGCTTGCTTGGAATAAGAGGGCAGAGCTAGCCACTAGCTGACCATAGAGGTTTGGAGGACTGCAGACAGGAGACAGTAAGTGGTAAGGCAGGGCCGAGAGGATCTTGGATGGAAGAGGTAGGAAGGGACTGGCAGTCGCTTCTTGATCTTTCAGGTTCTCACCCCAATATTTGATTCTCGATTTTTATTGATCAATGCAGGTGTCCATGGAAACCAGAGGTATCAAATCCCCGGGAAGTGGGGTTTAAGGTGGCTGTGAGCCACCAGTTGTGCGGGTGCTGGGTACAGAACTGGTCCTCTGGAAAAGCAGTACACGTCTTTTTTTCTTTTTCTTTTTTTGGGTGGGGAGTTTCAAGACAGAGCTTCTTTGTGTAACAGTCCTGGCTGTCCTGGAACTCACTTTGTACACCAGGCTGACCTCAAACTCAGAGATCTACTTGCCTCTGCCTCCCGAGTGCTGTGATTAAGGGCTCGCAGATCAGCACAGTACATGCTTTTAACCACATCGCCATTTCTCTAGCCCTAGACAAGCATTTACTCAAAAGCAGCAGTTCTCAACCTGTGGTTTGAGACCTCTTTGGGGGTGGCATATTAGATATTTTGCATATCAGGTATTTACATTACGATTCCTAACAGTAGCAAAATTAGTTATAGAGCAGCAACAAAATAATTTTATGGTTGGGGGTCCCCACAACATGAGGAACTGTATGAAAGGGTCGCAGCATTAGGAAGGTTGAGAACCACTGTTCTAAAGTTACAGCTCCCCACCAACTAGCCTTGTAGGTGTTTTTCTGTGTGTGTGTGTGTGTGTGTATGTATGTATGTATGAATGTATGTACGTATGTACGTATGTGTGTGGGGGGCGGAATGAGAGGAGTCTTAACACTAGTTTCAGCTGGCTGCAAATCAAGGCAATTCACCTGCCTCTGTCTTTTGAGGGGTAGGATTACAGGCAGGTACCATTACGAAGGCCTGGCCTGCCTTTTTCTCTTTCTTTTTCTTTTCTTTTCTTTTTTTTTTTTTTTTAAGTAATATAGTCCAGTCCAGGCTGGTCTGGTACTTGTTTTGTGTGGTGATATGTTGTGTACCCTAATAAACTTGCCAGAGGAAAAAGAGCCAGCCACTAGATTAGACATAGAAGTCAGGCAGTGGTGGCACACACCTTTAATCCTATTACTCCCGAGGCAAAGCTCCATCTGGATCTCTGTGAGTTCGAGGCCACACTGGGCTACATGAGATTGATCCATTATAGGAAACAGAGCCAGGCAGTGGTGGCACACACCTTTAATGCCAGCACTTGAGATCTCATGCCTTTGCTTGGGAAGCACACATGCCTTTAATCCCAGGAAGTAATATGGCAGGGCAGAGAAAGGTATATAAGGTGTGAGGAGACAGGAACTCACTCTCTTTAGGCTAAGGATTTTGTAGAGGTGAGAACTAGTGGCTGGCTGTTCTGCTTCCCTGATCTTTCAGCTTTCACCCTGATATCTGGCTCTAGGTTTTTTATTAAAAGACCATCTAAGATTCGAACAACAGTTTTGTAGCCCAGGTGAACCTGGACTCCTGATTCTCCTGAATCTAGTTCTCAGGTGCTAGGATTACAAGTGGGTACCACATCTGGCCAAGCACTTCCTTTCACCAGTACACTATTTATTGCCATTTAGTGGAGGGACATTCCAGACAGCTCAAGGACTGCGGAGTTATCAGGGGGATGACAACAAAAGCTGATGGGGACAGAAGGGCAGCAGACACTAGGTCATGCAGCTAAGAGTTAAAGAATTAGTGTTCCATTAAAGCACCCAAGAAGCAAGGGGGGCTGGAGGAATAGCTCAGGAATTAAGAGCACTTGCTGCTCTTGCTGAGGACGAGGGCTTACAACCCAAGCTCCAGACCCAACACCCTATTCTGGCCTCACTGGGCACCCACACATATGTGCACATCAATAAAAATAAAATTAAAAAAATTAAAAAAGCGCCGGGCAGTGGTGGCCCACGCCTGTAATCCTGGCACTTGGGAGGCAAAGCCAGGCGATTCCCTGTGAGTTCAAGGCCAGCCTGGTCTACAGAGTGAGATCCAAGACAGACACCAAAGCTACACTGAGAAACCCTGTCTCGAAACAAACAAACAAACAAACAAACAAAATTAAAAAGCAAGGTTGTGACTTGCGGTGGTGGCACACACTGGCTGCTCTTCCAGAGGTCCCGGGTTCAATTCCCAGCACACACAGGACAGCTCACAACTGTCTGTAACTCCAGTTCCAGGGGATCTGACACCTTCACACCAATGCTCATAAAATACAGTTAAATAAATTAAACACACACACACACACAAACCCCAAACTCCACCTGACCCCCAAAAAAGAACAGGTTTCACAATGAGAAGTTCTATCTTTGGCTAGGTGTGGTGCCTCATTCTTGTAATCTCAGTAGTTAGGGGGCTGAAGCAGGAGGATCACTAAGGGTTCAGACTAGCCTGAAATAGAGTGAAACCCTGTGTCCAAAATAAAAGAGAGGGAGGAAAAAGGGGATGAATTTCGGATGCACTGGGAAGGTAGAGGCAAGACTAGGAATCAATGAATGAATGGCGGCTTGCGAAATTCTAATCTGGAGATGGTGACATTGACATGTTATCTCATTCCCCCCCCCCCACGACCCTCCAGATAGAGACCAATTTTATAGTCTAGAAAACCAGGATAGGAATGAAAGGGTAAAGAAAGAATTCAATGTTAACAGTAGAGACAACACTCTAGTTCAATTCCGTCTAATATCAAAGCTCAACTGCTCGCTATACCACAAAACCAGAAATGTACTCAAAGCCAGAACATGTATGCTCTGGAACATCCCGTATGTTTCTCGTTAGGGTCCACGCAATTGCAGCACAGCCCAACAACTTGATTATTAGAAGGCTGGGGGAGGAATCATCTAGTCTTCAGCTTTCCTGGACAGGCTGAAATTCAGAAGAGCTGAAAGCTGTCTCCAGATCTCCTCTGTAGTAGCCTTCTAACCACCCCCGCCACCAGAGGCACCCGGTCCTCAGCCCAGTGGCCTCACAATGATGTAGGCGTCCAGGATGGAACGGTAGAGCGCTAGGACGCGGGTGAGGTTCACTGCCAGTTGCCTTCTCTCCTCATGCGAGAGGCCACGGGCCGAAACGCCGGGCATCCTGGGGACCGACTGGCGGAGCAAGGAGGGAGGAGGTGAGAAGGTCCACGGTCGGTACCACGAGGGCGGGAGACCCGGGCTGGACCGGGCAGGCCCAACGCGAAGCAAGTCCTCCGAGCTCGCCCGACAACGCCTCTTCCCCGCAGTCGCGTCGTCCAGGCTGAAAGCCTAAGGCTCACTTGTCAAAAGTCACGGCCTCCACGGGGCAAGGCCATTCGCGCGGAGGACGCCAGGGGCCCCGGTGACGTCACAGAGGCGCGCCCAGCACCGGCTCTCCGCCGGGCGCCCAGCGGCAGGTCCCGCCCTCCTTCCCGGAAGTGGGGCCACGGTTCCGGCGCGCGCTGCTCCCTCCGCTCTCCGCGGCCCACCACCTTCGAGTTGTTCCTCCACGGGGCCCGAGGGGCCGGGGAGCGCATCCCGCCCCC